CGATCTTTCGCGAAAAACCTTTGTTCGCGTGTGGCCTACTTTTGTCCTGACTGTTTAAGACAACTGATTTTCAAAGCTAGTGCTATGAAAAGGAAATGGGCCCAAATAATGCCATTTCTTGCGACAGAACGAAAAGAGACCTTTTTGGCTTACGTCACTGGACGTAAACCTCCAGTCATTCATTTCCCAAATCCTAAAGTAAAAGGTTCTAATTACTGGATTTCTGGATCGTTTTGAACCTCTGTTAATTGGATTTGTTCATCATGATTTTCCTAAGAAATCGAGCACTTCACTTTCCATATATACATTGACAAGTGAATGTTTTCTTATCCGTCTCATCTGTGTAAATATAACCTCGTCCTGATCACTTATGTCTTGCTTGATATTTGTCTTTTGCTAACACCTGCTTTCGAGCGGTTAATGCAATCAAAAGAGCAGTACAGTTCATTTATCAGGATCGATTAGTTTGAATGGATGTTGCATGGTTCAGCAGGAGACGATCGGAACAAAAATAAGGTTTTAATGAGCCATCTTGTAACTACAAAGAAAAAAAGACTCAGTGGACGAATTATGGAGAATATTTCGAAAAAGCGAGAGTTCTGACTAGAAATCAGGATTCTACTGTGCCAGTGATTCTGTTGTAGTGAGCCCAGAGCAAGCTTAAGGTGGCCTTCAATTTTGTGGAAAAGTTTCGATTGGCTTATTGCTAAATGGAAACTTTGAAATCATTGATTGAAATCATAGAGTTTCAACAAGCAAATGATATCTCACGGTTAAAAATGAGCTTATGTGATTATGCTACAGTCAAGCAGCGAATCAGCAACCGTGATCATAGAGCCACTTTGGCCAAGGTTTATTTCATGATCTTTGATAAGTTAATCTTTTTCGCAACGAATGCAATTGGAGTAAGAGCATTCGAGAAATTTCCAAGGTTGTGAGAGATAGATAAACTTTTCTGAGATTCCTTTCAGGGCGGTTTCTGTTAATTTTACATTCTTAAACGTTATCGCTTAATCCGAAGCTAAGATTGTCGAGAGTTATTCATTCATTCAGTGTTTTAATTTGCTCCTCTTTGAACTTAGGGGATCTTTTGTTTTTACCATATTGTACCTATTTTTACTGAATTTGATACCTAAATTGTGTACGCAGGAGGTAAAAAGTAATTTGTTACAAATGTTCAATTGCACTACATTTCTATTTATAGAAGACAGTTAAAGATGGCATTAGCAGGTCCTCAAATAAGTATGGATCTCCTCAAAATAGTAACTGGATATATTTGGGGCAGCCTTTTAACTCCTTCTTGGTTCAATTTTGTTTAGTATTAGTTGAATCAATACTTGTTTCCTCAGATAAGACTCTTTCAAAAAACAAAAACAAAAACAAAAAAACCGTTAAAAAGATTTTGCTTTAGTTTTGTTTACCCCAGTTCATTTAATATTGTATATTTTTCTTGTCATACTTCTAGCAACATAACGTTACTTAGAACCCTGTAACAATTAGCAGTCTTGTTTTAAATGTGAGGTGTTGTATTCTAATATTGTCTGCAGAAAAGGTAATGTAGAACAAACCAACCAAGGTGTAAAGACCAGCATTTGAAAAAATTACATTTTTCTATTTTTCTTTACCTTTTGAATCGTCTGAATAAAGAAGACATCTTGTTCGTAAGATTTACCTAGTAACGGCGGAGATACTTGTAAATGAGGGAATAAATAATGCAATTAACTTAGTGGAGATTTTTTTAATGATCATTTAAAAAGGAAAAGAAAAAATAACCATTTGAAAATGAACATTTTGCTTAGTGGACTTGAAAAACTGACTGTTAAGCTAAAAGCGGCGAACGTTAACAATCGAATTTTGAAATCAATTTCCAGGAAGTATAAAAAAAAAACCATCATTGTCTAGGCAGCAAGGAAAGTTTAGCGATTTGCAAACGCTAAAAAAGCAATTATCAGTTTCGCATATTAATGAAATTTTCTCTTTAACGCAACCTCACAAGTTTCTCGCGAAGAAACAAAAAAAAAAATCACCACAATTAGGTTTTAATGCCTCGACCGCTACCCAGTTTAATTAGTTCTGTGAAAGTTGACCAAGAGAACAGATCATCGCAGCTCACCCTCCGTGCTGTGAAGCAGTCTAGAAGAACTTAGCAAGTAAGTACCGCACGACTATTTCAGATGTGGCACTGGTTGAATATTTTTCTGCTGATCTAATTGACAATTCAAACTGACAATGCTCTCCTAAATTCTTTTCCAGGGCTTTCAAAATGCCAAAAGCTTTTCTCGTAAAGAGTCAGTCCAAACCAGTCACAGAAGACAATTATCTGAACGTTACGCCTACAGGCTCTATTAAAGGTGAGATTTTGTTCCATTCTTTATAAAGTTTTATTACTTTTTTATTACATTATTTTGGAAATATTACTTACGAGCCCCATTTACAGATTACTTTTTTGCCTTGATTTGCAAAAATTCTATGGTTAGTCTTACCTAAGGCCGCCTTTGCTTCATCCTTTCAACCTCCAAATCCGAACTGCAGAGTCTGCCATACTTTTAGTGTTCTAGATCACTTAAGAGATTCTACTAATAGGAACACAAGTTGGCAAGAGCATGCCGCAAATACCAATTCTTTGAGCTTATTATTCTGCATTAGAGAGGTTATTAAACATCACTATTTCTATATAGTTTAACCTTAAACATACGGGATTGTATTTTTCAAATAGTTTTTCCGTAAAATTCTTTAGAAATATATAGCAATAATATGAACACTTTGCATCACGTATCACAACCGCCTAAAAACTTAACTCAGATTTGAGCTCAAAGGTACATTGTCAGGTAAAGTGAGTCTAACTTTTCTCTGATTTAGTAATATTCGCTTCCCTTCTGATTATTGCGCAACTCACCCGTGATCGTTATCCAGTTTCGCAACCTTATCTTTTGTTATATCATCTAGAGATGTCTTTTGTTTAATTTAGGCCTTTCTATAATTGTATCATTGTAATTACAGTTAAATTTGCATTTTTATGGCTAATTAGTGAATACCGGGAAATTTGCAAAGGTTGACCGAAAAGCGCATTTAAAAGCAAAACGAATAACCCACCGTAAAACGTTGAGTATTAAATTTTCAGTATATTTAATAACAGAAGATGCAAATGTCTTATATTAATTATGACAAGACTTGACACATTCCACTTTTAAATTATCTCGAATAATCTGGAAAGTTAGACCTTGTCCCGTCTTATAGCTTCAGTCGTTAATTAGCAGAACCAAAACTAAATTGCAACTCGCATAGTCCGAAAAACGAACAGATTTTTTAGGAAAACTGGCAAAATACATTCTTGGAGACCCAGAACAAAATCAAAGTCAACCTCGTTCCCAGGGTTCTCTTCTACCCGTCCCTACGAGTAGGAGAGAGAACCTGGGACCGAGGCTGAATCAAAGTAAGCTTACAACCATAACAGAAGTCCCTAGGTACATTATTATCGTCAACCGAACCACTCCAAGAAGAATTTTAAGCCAAAAAACATTTTTGACCAATTAGAAGCAGAGTCCTTTATGACAAATCAGAGGCAAGATTCTTCTGGCCAATCAGAATTAGCTAGGAAAAACAAGTGCTTCTAAAACTGGTTAGGTAAGAGCATAGGGCGCATGCCCAGGAACTTTTCTGTTTTCCCTGTTTTTCAAAAAAAATCATCTCGAGTCTTAGCAATGAGTAATACATTTCTTTTGTATTCTTTCCTAAGCTTCGTTGTCAAGTATGAATTTTAATGTTGTATATATCGAAAACGGTTTATTGCAGGTTGCGAAGTTCCGGTATGCGCAAGAAGCAAGATTCCTTTTTTCAAATTTTATCTTTTGCTTTCTTCTCCATGCATTATCTTCTTCTTTTTTGCCTGGGATTCACGACAATAATAAATGAAATGATATGTGTGGAGAGAAGGACACAGAAAAAATCTGAGTTCCAGAAGGGAATTGAACCCACGACCTTCCGTACACTAGTCGGATACTCTAACCACTGAGCCACTGAGAACTCAGTGGTGAGCAGGTCGATTGTGGGCTGACATAACTACCGCATCGCGCAGTCACATTGTGTCAAGTGAACTCACAATATTAACCGCATCGCGCAGTCACGTAAATACTCTATGAGCAATGAATAAGAAATGAAATGATATGTGTGGAGAGACAAGTTTCACGACAAGGTTTTATTTTCGGTATACATGTTTCGTCGAAAGCCACGAAGATACTGAATATAAATATTTGAAAGAAAAGGGTTGGAAGTGCAACAAGATTGCATTGAATTTTATAGTCAACTTTACATTTTTTGTGAGTTTTTCTCCGGCCATTTTGATTTATCAACGGTTGTCTACCGATGACGTCATTAGTGGTACATGGGACAAGCATCACGCACGGGCAGTTTAGGAGGGAATGGGTTTCATAATTGGCTTATTGGTTCACGAATTTATATAACTATGTTCGATTCATTTTTTTTTTTATGTCAACAGCTTGTGTGTCAGAGCACGACTCAGTTGCCTTGATGGACGGAGAGCATCCATTGATTGCGTACTCAGCGTTTTCTGCAATCGACCGGCACCCCAGGATAAACCATCCTAGCAAACCAAATTCATGGCACCCATACTACAGCCAAATCACTGATTTTCAATGGCAGACGCCTAGCGTGCCAGCAACGCATCTTCTCTTCCGGTACCAGCCACGTGAGTCGGTTATATGCTGCCCGGTTGGTCGCAAGTACGCCTTCGAACCAGCATCGTCTGAAGGTGAAAACAACTGTCACGAAATGTGCTGTGAATTAGTCTCTGGCCAGGCATCCATTCCAGCTAAAGATGGTACAATCAATCATCGACAAGTCCTTGTGCACGAAACAGATGTCTTGTTAAGCAGGAAGTAGATGAGGACCAGGAGGTCTTTCAAAGCGGGCCACCAGGAGTTGATAACAGCCAATCAGCTCTCGTGTCCTACCCGACGCAACTCTTTGACACCAACAAACACATGAAGACTGGGTCAAGCGTATCTGTCATCTCCTGGACTCCTAACCAGGCTTCCTGTAAAGAGCGCCCCACCGAAATTTCCCAAGCTTTCACTCCACCAGTAAACAAATACAGCCAGTTGAACGAGTGTGTAGATCTAGAAGGGGGCAAAAAGCTATCAACCGTCGAAGAGATGGCCAGTGAGCGTCAGTCGCAAGAGAAGGTTACGGAAGTGTCCAACAACAGTCTTAGTGTAAACTGTGTGGATCAAAAAGCAAATGGCTGGTTGGAAGCCACACATTTTCCTGCATCAGTACCTACTCGGGATCAAGACATGTCAGTTGATGGTCATCACGATCGTCCAAAGTCCAAATCCAAGCACGTGTGTGATGAGTGTGGCAGGACATTCACTCGCTCCAGTACACTGCTCACCCACAAGCGCATTCACACTGGAGCCAAACCGTACGTGTGCCAGCAGTGTGGACGCGCCTTCAGACAGCTGGGTAACCTATCCCGTCATCAGCTTACCCACACAACGTCCAAGCCATACGTTTGCAAGCAATGCAACAAGGCCTTCAACCGTGCCTCTAACTTGCACACGCACATGCGCACTCACTCTGATTACAAGCCCTTCTGCTGCGATTTCTGCGGCAAGCGGTTTCACCAGAAAGTCGACATGAAGATTCATCGCTACACTCACACAGGTGAAAAACCACACAAGTGCCAGAAATGTGGGCGAGGATTTAAACAGCTGACACACTTGACCTACCACATGAGGACGCATTCCGAGGTACGCATGTACAAGTGTGAGTTCTGTGGCAAGGGCTTCAACCAAAAGGGGAATCTGAAAGCGCATGTGTACCGCCACACGGGTGAACGACCATTCAAGTGCGACATATGTGGTAAGGGTTTCACACTGGCATCCACGCTGAATACGCATAAGAGAACGCACGCCCCTCATAAGCCATTCAACTGCCTATTTTGTGAGAAGGCGTTCTATCAGAAGAATGCTCTGAAGTCACATTACATTGCATCACACCCCTTCACTGGAGGGGTTTCTTTGTTGTAAAATGTTACTTGGGCGAGAACTTAACATAGCCAAGTATTTTATGCAAATTTTAATAAGGTTTGGGTCGTGGAAAAAATAGAAAATGTCAAAAAGGTATAAGGTGTATGTCAGTACTTGTATACATGTATAAAAAGAAAAACCTTATGAGATTTTATAAAACGCAACCTCTTCCCCTATTTCGGATGAAAACGTACTGTAAGCCGCAAGCCATATAGAAATTTTCAGTCTGTTATACATTTTATACAGTTTGATGATATGTGTTCTTTACTAAGAACACATATCATCAAACTGAACTGTTTCTCGTTTCATTGTAATAAAAATAGCCATCAGCTGTACTTTACTTTACCTTATGTTGTAAAATTTCTCTTTTTTTCTTAGAAAACTCTGTTAGCTGTAGTTTAAACAAAAGCATATTTTCTTATCGTTTTCCTGTATGTTTGTGGTTAGTAAATAAAACAGCCAAATTTAAATTTTTTTGATGTGGTCTGAAGACAATTTGTTTTACAAAAGCAAGAGAGACGAATAAGATCATTATTGACCAAGGCCTTGACAGCTGGCTTAGCGAGACTAGCGTGGATCTCTGCTCAAGCGGTTTTAAATGGTTAGCAACAGGTAACATTGGATGAAGCCAGATTGTTTCTGTCAATAAAATTACATGAAGAACAATTAAGTCCGACTTAACTGTGTAGTATAAAATAAAATAGATAAATAGTTACTCTTTTTCCGACCTGCTACGAAACTTAGTGCCGCTGTTTCTGTGCCTGCCTCCTCAAGAACTAACAGATTTGGACATTTTTGCACCATCAAATACCAGAATCACGTTTAAAATAGCGAAATGTGATATGTCTTAACATTCACAGTTATATATATTTACGTGTCATAATTCCGAAGTATTTGTATGTAATTAATGACCCGCCTTGTAATTCATTTTATGCTGCAAAAAGGTTCAATAAACGATCATTATTTATTTATTTTTTTATTTATAACAGAACTGGGAAGCTTTGAACCCGAATCATTTGCTTTACAACCTAAATCCATATCCACTACACAATTGAAGAAAAGCTGTCAAATCCAGTAATGGGTAAAATATACATGTGCTCATGCCGTATTTGAAAGCTAACCATTTCCAGTTCAGTGCTTTACCCTAATCACTGCAGATCTGTTCTTAACTCTCTGGTATGTGTTCTCTCCATAACTGGCGCCCTGCGCTTTTGTTTTTTTAAAGCAATTCTAGAAGGTTGGCGGTGTTCTTTTCCCGCCAGTTTCGTGATGTCAAGAGAATAATGCATTGGTGTCCAATCTGGCCTCACCCGATGCTAACCGTTTGAAGTTCCTGTTCCGTCCCTCTCTTTTTCCTTCTACTGATTCAACATGACGGGTGACGGGTTCCTGGAGTAAGGGCCCGTAATTTGATTGAATTACCGGCCATAATGAAGCAGGAGGATAGAGGAGGGGGGAGCGGTTTTGCACTTTGGGGGTTGCAGGTAACAATAGAAAACCCTGGATACCCCAGTAAGTACTTCCGACTTAAACGAGGCAATCCGTTAACAAAATACTTTTTTTTTTACTTGGTAAAACACACTGAAGATGTTTAAAACCATAGATTCGACATTCAAATCGCTAAACAGACAGGGTCTATAGCTTTCCTCCCCTCCTCACGAAGACGGCATTCGATTAGAACTACCAGAGTTCATTTCGTTTTTGCTTTCTTATTTAAATTGTCGATCCCGCTGAGGTTTAAAAAATAATAGCCCTTATTTACACGAGAAAACAAGAAACTGAAGGATTCTGGAAGATATATTTTTTATTTTTATTTTATTAGCTTCGCCAAAAAAAACAAAAACAGACAAACAGAAAGAACGTTGGCAGGGACACCGCAACAGCTGTGGCCAATTACGTTGTATAGTAAAACGACGTCACCGTGCAATTGTCTACTGAATCCTTGCGGTTCAAGGGCCAGAGTATTGCCCATGTACTGACTCGACTCAAGTTCTTACCACACGCGTTTCCATAAAAAGTCGAAGAAAACCGGTAACGAGCCAGGCGTAGTTGCTTAAAAGGAGCCACTGCATTCCGTACAAGGTTACAACTGGATCACTTTTACTTTAAAATCCTCCCTAAAAAGTTAAGGTTCGCACACTAAACCCTAAGTAATTTACCTCTTTATTTCATATTTGAAATCTTAAATACACCATTCATCTTTGTGGCTACTATTTAATTAGTACCATGTTAGTATTTTACTTTATATACAGTCACATTACACACAATACGTAACTGTGTACATGTTTGCTCCATTTACCCTGACTCGTCCCCAATCTTCTCTCACAACCTCCCCAGTGTCGCGCAGGGTATGATGGGAAGGACAAAAGCGAGGGAGAGTCTTCCTCTCTTCTCCCTTCCCACCACACCCTGCTCCCGCCGTGCGCGTTGCGCGAAGACGATTGGGAACGAGTCAGCCATTTAGTCCTCTTAAACGTCATTGATAAAGTAAAATTTTCTCAAATACCAGCAGGAGGGCGCCTAAACTTAAAAAGTAAAAGGAAGTATTCGTGAAAGCTTTCATGACAGATGAAACTAATATAAGCTTATATATATGCCCGTTTTAAGTATGCGTCCACAGCTCTTCGCACACATTCACAACAAACTCGAAACTGGACCGTTGAAGGTGTTTCAAACAGTAATACACCTGATTCAATATAGGTTGCTTTAGCATTGGGCAAATGCGCGCTGGGAAGCTATTGCTTGGCGGTCATTCAAGGAAATCATTGTAGTGAGATTCACGTGTGCCCAAATGCCCAATGCCCAAATCCCAATGACCAATTGTCAAAGCAACCTTTATTGAATTAGGCATTTACACAATTCATTTTTCCATATCATAGGCGAACTTTGGCAAAATGTTCAAAACTTTGCAGTGAAACCACCCACTTGCGGCTCGTGACTCCACTTGAGTTTTGAACATATTGCCGTCATTTCCACGGTCGATGAACAGCACGGACCATGGAAAATTGTTGTCGATTTGTTAAACAGAAACAGGCAGACTAAGAATCATTGACCTATTCCCGGGCGTGAATTGTGGAATTGTGAACGTGCTCACTGAATGAACACTAAAAATGTACAGTATATACAAGACGACATTATATTTTTTTGTTTTATAACTCCAAATACACCAAGAGTCGAACTTCACATTTCACCAAACTTAATGCTAATGATCAAAATCTATTGCGCTCACTCATCCGCGGTAGGTCAGTAATCACAAGTGAAGTTCCACGTTTGGCGAGGGCCCAGGCTTTAATTTAACTTTATTTATCCCCTTTCGATAGCCTATTACTTCAATAGGTTTTCAACCAATCTCAGACACATTTACTACAAAACGTTTCTCGGTACGTTTGCCTGGATACGAGTTTACTAATTTTACTCAACACTGAAAAACAGACGGGGACACACGCATGCGCAAGAGAGTGATTTAAACTCAAAGCTTAACTCAAACCAAAAGATTCTAACGGCATGTCTGAAATTGCACTTCAACTTAATAGTGGGAAGGCAACTTAACTATTGCAAAAGCAGACCACTTTCTGAGACACATTTGTCAAAATATCGAGCTCATGACACATCATTTTGACTCGTTGTTGAAGACAGGAGAAAGACGTAACGTGAGGTAGTTAATACAGAGTTATAGCAAAGTCTTCACACTACGTGTCTGAAATTGTTTTTCACCATAAATTAAATACCTTTTTCGAGAAAAAAAATATATAACATCTTCAAGCACACTCTTCTAAAATATCTGACCACCTAGCTGGATGAGAGCTAGATGGCTTCCAAGACAATTTCACCTAACAGACATTGCAGTCTAAGGCAACTTAGTTTCCAGACTCCTCTTCCTTCCTCCTTCAAAGAGAGGGGACCATGGCAACTAGGCTGGTCTTGACTCGTACCATACTGTCTGTAATAATGCACATTTCATTTGGTAAAAACATTGCCTACTAATATTCAGGCCACATTCGGTAATTTGTGCTTACAAATTTGTGTTTACCGAATGTGGGCTGAATATTAGTTGGCAATGTTTTAACTAAATGAAATATGCATTAGAACTTAGGGAGACAGGCATAAACAGTCGATGCAACAAGCAGCTGTGAATCTATAACACTCTAACAAACCTGATATTCCCCCCAAAATGAGCCTTGTTAAACGGTTTAGTTTGGCACGCGCACTATCAAAAATGAAGATTACTAATCTACAACTGAAAAGAAAATAAACTTGCTCGCTTAATTGTTGGTTGCTTTGTTTGTTTGTTTGGTTTTTTAAGTGGCATTTCAGTAGCCTTTGAATTATGGAACTGCATCAGTGATACAAACCAAAGTTCTTATCAGACCATTATTTCCCTACTGTAAACTGCCACTAATAAGCCCCGCCATTTTTTTAGCCCCCCAGTTATAGACAAGCCTACCTGTAAACAAAAAATTGTCACACCCATCTCATCTAATTATAAGCCATCCACCCTTCAAATTTATTGAAATGAATTTAAAAGACCATAATCGGCACTGCTATAGCTTGTTTCTAAGCGCTTCCGGTTATAAGACCCCTCCGAAAAAAGCCCCCCCATTTATAAGTTTTTCTAAAACTCCTTACGAATAATTATGTATGAGGTAGGGCTTATTAGCGGCAGTTGATGGTATCTGTGTTACGTAGGTACACTAGAGCTGTTTGGTACTCCCTCGGTCCTTTTTGTTGTACCCTGATCCACCACTATCTCGGGCATTTCATCCACTGCATTCACTGGACTAACAGGACTGTCTGGGTCCTTTCCTTCAGGTCCATCTAGTGATGGCCAGCTTGTTGTTTGCTCCAGTTTTTGTAGTCTCTCATTAAGAGCTTTGAGTGCCTTTTGCCTAAAAGTATAAAGCGATAACTTTAGCATATCGTTTAAGAAAGACATATGTATGTACTCTGTAAGCCCTTAATAATGCTTAAGTCAATCTCAGTCTATAAACTGAACCAGATGGGTTATGATTTACGGTCGTTTCGCCTACGACTCACTTCGCGAACGCTTGATCAAAAACTAAACGAACGACGACAGAGGTATACACATGTGTATCGGACTTTTTCGTGTCATGGCTGAAACAAAGAGGTATATAAATGTGAATATAAGTAGAAGACCCACTCAGTGGGGGATCTAAAAACATATACACAAGTCACATAACGTCTCAGCTCATCAAACTTCCATCCAAGGGAAACTAATAAATTACATTGGAGAGGGCATACTCTAGGGGCGGGGACTAACTTACTATGGGCAAAACTACTGATTTCCAGTGACACTATTTATAATGTCAATGACGGTATGTCTGTATCTGAATAGCGTATGATTCTGCATAGAAGGCAGTTAGGGGGGGGGGGGGGGGAAGGGGAAGGATGTTTCTTTTATGTATCTACAGTGTCCCCTTCCCCAGGCTAATAACGTATTTACTCGAATAAGCACTGCGGCGGTTATTAAAATTGTTTTTTTGGCGCTTCAAATGTGGCGTGTATTTACATTTCATTCAAACAGAACATGATTTTGTTAACCAATGCGTCCTGCGGAATAAAATTAAAAATGTTCAAAGGAAACAAAATGAACATTTGGCCTGCGTCCAGTAGGGTTTAAAGTTCGACTTGGATGATCGATCTGAACAACAGGTTTTTACACAGTACCTTCTTCTTTCAGCATCAACAGGATCCATTCCAGGTAAGCTGATTGTAATGGCTGATGGTGCCCCCACATCATACGTTCTGATCGGTTTGTGACACACTTTCAGACGGACCAGAGTGTTAAATATAATGGTTGAAAGTGTATTAACTGGTGATCTGTTTTTACAAAGAAAGAGGAACTTCACTCATAAAAATTAATGCAAGTGATGAAACCATTTTGGACAACCAAGAAAGTCAGAGGGTGAGGTACTTTGTTAACAGCTTAAAAAACCGGGTATCTTAAAATCTCTGAAAGATACTTTGGTGAAAAAGTTGTGTGCCGTTACTTAACTCTAGAGCCCTAACTGTCTTTTCCCCGTTTTTATGCTAGAGACATTAAATTCGTCTGAGAATTAAGTCATCTTAAAGGATGACTAACGTCCAGTAAAAAACAGAGGTAAATTTAAAACGTCTGACTGTTAAGGGCGTCAAAACATATGAAAGGGTCAGTGTTTTCGTTTTTTTTTGTTTTAAAGGAAACCAATTTTTTTTCAATGGTACCTTTCTGACTTTAAAAGTGGATCATTTTAAACTTTGATTACATGAACGAATTTAAAGTGGGGAATTGAAAATATATAATTTTTAATATTCCTTCAGTGGCCACCCATTGCAGCTGAGTCTGGAGATAATGGGTTTTTGCCCAGAAATTTGAGAAGACCAAAAGTTCTAGTCAAGAGGACCTCTCCTTTGCATTGTGCCATACACCAAAACGTTTGTATATGAGACATAATAACGATCCAGCATTGCAAATTAAAGTTTGCTTACTGTGCAGCTTCCGGAAAGAAACTTGCGCAGGAGAAGCCTTCACTCAGGTCTCCCTTGACTCCTTTTCCACGAGGCTGGTAAAACCTTAAATACACCCAGCCAATGACAGTACCAGATAAAACCATAACCAGAAGAATTATAGGAAGGACACCGATGATACACAGAATACTGTAAACAAGGACAACTATTGATGGAACATGCTGAAAGAGAAAACAATAATTGAATCAAACTTGATCATGAAACTTGAACATGAATGTCACCACTTGGGCTGCTGAGCGGACCACAGTCAATCCTGTATTCAGGGGCACCCAGCGACGGTTCCCTCCCAAATACATTAAAAACACTTTTGAGGCTATCCAGAGTACTTTAAGATCTCTAGAAATGCATTCTAAGCGATGCATTAAAATTTGCATCTGTTCTCTGTATCTGTTTGGTGATCCTAGGGGAACTTGAGTCTTCGAAATCACAAGGGCCTCAGTATTATTTTCTCGAAAGTTTTAGAGGCAATTTCATGTATTACGAAAGTGAGAATTTTTCTGATTTCTCTCTCTAACATATTTTTTTGAATCCAAAAATTCTAGGTTTTCTTTTTTCTACGAAATAGTGAAATAGTGAAATGTGAAAAAAAAAATTAAACTTCAGAAAAATCGTAGAGAATTTATTAGATAGGCTTCGAAAATTGTACATGAGTGAAACGGTCATCTAGAAATATTTAGCCGTCCTCAAGTAATAGAAAATTCTGGGTAATATTTGCTTCTCCGAACAGATGTTCTGCAGATTACAGTCGTTTCCTTGGGGAATGGGTTAGTGGCCGTTTAATACAGGTTTGACCAACCTAAGACTTAATCAAGACAAAACTAATAATTAGTTTTGTCTTGACTAAGTCTTAGGTGTGTGGCGGTTACTTTTTTTGACACAAGAAGAGGCACACTTTAGACTCACTAGTAACTTTGCGGTCGATCTGTCACGGGATATATAATTATTATTACACTGTACAAAAATAAAATTATAACAAGTGATTACGACTTTTACTTCAGTGTCATAATTACTATGGAGACACAATCAGTGTACATCTGTACATTTACAAGGTGATATTCCTGTAACTTTTGAAAGTGTGAGCAAAAATCTGTTTGCAGTCTGAACTCATACAGCTGTACAATACAAGTAGAAAAAAACCTAAATGTTCATTTTTAAGTTAATGATTTTCTTACACAGTAGATTATTTAAGTAAGGCATATATATTCTTTATGGACTGTTAATCGGTTTTTCATAAAAGCTGTGTTACATGTATTTGCTAATGCTGCAGTATTTTTCAAGGGTAACATGAAGAACTTTTGATTTCAATTCTGCAATTTCAGTTATAACCAGATTGTCGAAATGTTTATTCCTTTGTAATTTCATAAGAATGCTTTCATATTTAGACAAAAAACCTAGAAAGACCCCAGAGAAAGCATATAAAAGTAAAATAACACATTAATAACATGTCTAACCATTAGTGTCACCCACGCTAAACAAAATGATTCATGAATAAGGTAAAATAATAATTATATCTATATCTTTTATTTTAAATCTAACGTGGTACCCTGGTCTTTATGGTGCAAAGGACACACTAATTTTTTACTTTAAACCAACCTTGACCCGAAGACCAAGAGAAGACATTCCTAATTCTTGCTCAGGTTTAATTTGTTTAAAAGCAATCATCATACCAGATAAAATTCCTGTCATTCCACTAAACTGTAGAAACCTACAGATACAAAAAAGTTATAAGTAAGATGAAAACACAATATTATCTATCTATCTATCTATCTATCTATCTATCTATCTATCTATCTATCTATTGTTCCTGTAAATGATCTAATAGCAGGGTTGCATATTTTAATGGATGGGAGGCCTTTAAAAGGGAGCTGTTTATTCTCATAACTGCAACAAACTCAACAAAACTAAGTCATGTTCAGCAAATACGTATACATATCCTCTAATTATAAATGTAGTTATATGAATACTTTAAGACTTACCACATTTGTGTGTCAAATGTTGCAACATAAGCAAAAACACAGACAGCTGACGCTAGCAGTGAGGTTCCTACATCTAAGATTAATACAAATTTCTACAAAGAAAAAAAAAAAGCAATCTGAATCAAAATTGAATTCAGGGTATAGTACTTTATACCTTTAAACAGTTTGTTTACAAATTTGCATTGGCACTAAGAGAGTAATCATTGAGACAGACGGCTTACATTAAAAAAGTCCTTCCATTAATTAACAACAAGAACGTTCTTACAGCAGCATTCAGTCTCGCTTGCTTGGAGATCAGATAGAGAAATGAGGAGGCAATTAATTCTACATGAAACAGGATTTACTCGTCAAAGGTTTTTTATTTACTTCCTACTTCAGCAACGTTGAGTATTCTTCAGGATATTTACTTTTTACTCGTTTCTGAATTGATTTACAGTGTACAGCTGTAGTACGAGTGTTAGCGATGACGGGAAATACATCTGCAGTCGCAGGCTATACGCATGTATAAATACACAAAAATTCAAGGGCCTTGATTCCAGAGAAATTACATCATTGCCAGAGATAAAAAAGTGATTTACATGGCACATCATTTCAATCATTGCCGAAAATAAACTGCCTGCTCATCACAAGACCCATTTGCATACAATCACCATTTACAACACCCGACTTTCGCAGTTTTGCTAATTAAGATTCTTTTTTTTTTTTTTCGACCACTCAGTAGTGTTCACTTCTTCCAAAGTAATCAACGCTTTGAAGCGATAGAATTTGTGGAATGACAAGTTTCGGAAAAGCTCTAAATTTAATCTTTCCTAAGCTTTCTTCGCAAAACATGCGTGGCTTCGATCATGCAACGATTCTTATTCTCAGTTTCCATGGTCTCAGCTAGCAACGCCTGGCACAATGACCCCCCTTTTGTGTCCTAAATACGACGAAAAACGCGCTGCAGATTAAGAGCTTTGCTGCCTATGCAAGTTAGACTAATAATCAACAAGATTACATTGTAGGTCAGGAGGAGAAGAAAGCGAGACTCTGAGATAACATGACATTACATAGGCAAAACATAAAATATTTATTTGCTTTATTTACATTTGGACACACACAAATGTTTTTGTAAACTCTAACAACGCCCAGTAGTACACATCAAACAAAAAGTTGATATCATGATATAAATGTTGTAGCTTGGATTTGTTCCAGTTTTAAATAATTTATTTTATTTCCCCTTGATTTAGGTACACGAATGGTTAGTAGGGAACATAAAGAGTTTGAAAAAAAAAGGAAAACATCTAATCAAGGATAAAATTTAACTACAACATTGACACAGCTGCCTTTGGCCGATGAAATTTGCTGGAAGGCTGTCTGCTTTGCTGTGGTTAGCCTCTGTTTACACAAGATAGACTTCAGTTATTTAAAATAAAATTTGTTTGCAAAAGCAAGTGGGTAAAGAAAATGTGACCAAGGAAGGACAAAAAATGTAAACTACATTGTACCCTCTGCAAACAGAAGTGCAAGGTTTTTTCATCACTTGGGGAAGCAGGATGCTCAAGTACCCATCTTACTATTCTAGCATTGGATGTATGAAAACCTCTTATGCTTGATCTTTCACTTTCACCTGTATTTACATCATGCATATTAACTAGATGTTCAGTGTATTTACCAGAAATTCAAGTGCTCCCCACAGGGGTTCAAGTAGCTGACCACAAAGCACAAGCACTGCAATATCTATTAGCACCTGAAAAAAAAAAAAAACAAACAAGCATTTGACATTAAAAAGAAATATTACCAAAAAGTGCAGAAGAAGTACAGATGGGAATAAACTTAAGAGGGTTCTTAATTTATTTCACAGATTTTACTCAGGTACATGTTAACTGTAGCTCCCTTTTTTTTTTCAAGTTTGTCTCAGTTTGTAAGAAGGTGCTGTTTGACAATTTTCTTCTTGTATATAAAAATCATATTTACTGTAAACAGACAAAACCATTAAAAACACATGTAGTTATGACGACTTAACCTCTAAAAGTGATGACAAGGAACTGTTGCTCAAACTGTGCCAGCTATATGTAGTTAAATGGTGTTGTACAAGAACAACTTATCAGCAAAATGGCATCACTTTTGCATGACTTTGTCAGCGCATGAAAAAAACTACTCTCTGCACAAATGACATAAGTTAAGCATGTATAAAAACTATTGTTTGCAGGAAGGAGGCAACAATTCTTGTGCAAGCTGGAATTAGCAGTGTGCCTACCATTAGTCAGAACTTTGTTTTAAGTATGTTCTTTTCATTGTTATCAATTTTTTCATGTACTCATGGTTACACAGTTATGGAGTCATGCTTCTCTTGGTTGTTATAACTTGTACAAACAATACTTTCAAAGTATCCCGTTGAAGCCCTGATTTTTTTTTTCAGGCTTCTTCTTTCCAATTGCTTAAATTGAAAATTTACTGTGATGATCATTCTTCACTTTCAAAGTATTATTAAACTAACAAAGACTTGAGATGTATCAAAACAAGTAAAAAGTATCATGATCTTTTTAAAAAATCTCATTTAAAGTGCATACAAGGAGTTCAAGTACAATGTAATATGTGTTATATCTTGAAAAATAAGATCAGAAAGACCAGTGCAACCCCTCTAATATGACCAACTCATAAATCATGGGTCAATGGATGCATAACAGGATGCTACTGAAAACACAGGTTATTTTTAGAGACGATTTAGGTGATTTAATCTTTAAATGGAATGGTTAGGTTGAAAGCAGGCACTTACATTCCATATTCTATACTCTGTAAAACCTCCTGTAATTAATGTCCATACTCTAAAATGAGGTGGAATAATGCTGAAGAAAACAAGATAAAAGGAAAATTAAAATACATTCTACAGCTGTACAGACTGTATGTGTAGCAAAAATAAAAAAAGGTTAAAAAACCTATGGGAAACTAAAAGCATATAGATACTAACACAATGCAATTCTTCTACACATAAACCTGAGAAAGACATGTACAGTAACTGTAATAAAACATGTTCAGCACCCAAGCATAGCAATCAACCCTCATACATCAATACAATGTAACTTCAGTAGGATAAGTAACCAATACAGTCAACTCCCGTCATTGCGAACACCCTCAGGACCGTGGTTTTATGTCCGTAATAGCGAGAGTCGGTAATAGTGGGGCGGGCGAAAAAAAAGTGCTGTTAACATACAATAATATTATAAATAACATGAACTACGTTTGTAAGGTTTTCTTAAATCTTTAATGTGTGTTAAATGTGCTACTTATGCAAATAACAGAACAATTAATCAATGCAGCTCTTTAGTTTTCGCGCTGAGCAACAGAGCGTAACGGAGTGAACTGAAACTGTAATATTAAAAAATGTCTCATCAAAAACAGTGTCTGATACTACATTTAGACATGGTCCTTGCATAAACAATTTGCAGTAGTTGTCTTTAGAGGTAAACAATTTGCCACAGATTGTGTTTTTTGGAGGTAGCCCATTTTTTGTTAAAAAAATATCTTTTGCAAGACTGAACAAACTGAAACAGCAAGTAACACTTGCCCAAACCAAAATATCTTGCAAGGCAGACAAACTTAAAAGAATACCAAAACACAGTCATTGAGGGTAGAAAGGGCTCTCCCAAAGAGCCAGGAAGACAAAAGTGCAAGCTCAAGTGAAGAAGTGAGGACAGTGATTGTGCAGACAATTTTAGGAATAATTTATTGATGTGAAACTGAATCTTTTGAAATGTAATTTGGCAAATGATGAACAGCAGACTGTAATTTTACATAATTATGTTGTATGAGAAGTACAGCATGTCCACTTTATCGAAAGTCAGAACGATAAAATTGTCACTTTAGTACCAAAAAAGTGTCCGTAATTCCGTAATATTGGGAGTCTGTAATAGCGGGAGTCATTTCCAGTCAAACCCCTAAAGCTTTTGCCAGAAATCTGAATTTTGTCCGTAATAGTGAGGGTCCGCAATAGCGAGGTGTCTGCAAGGCAAGTGTTGACTGTAGTTAGCATAAGTTATAAAACCTGAAATTTAGGAGCGACTGTTCTTCAAAATAAAGTCTTGAACAGACGTTTTTTCCTTTTATTAAACAGACAATGTGGATTTAGCACAGTCTGGGCAGCATGTAACCCGACAAAACAGACACCATTTTATCCCACAAAATTAACTCTGAGAAACAACTGCAGAAATTCAGAACTGATGACGTGTCACTTCTCAGATCTGGGAGTGCTTCTGATTGGTTGATTCATTCCTCAGACTTCATTTCACAGGAAAACCAGATCAAGGCTTACCCAGCATCAATGCACATTGTAAGTATTTGTATTCAGCGTAAAGGAACCATCGAATGTCACTGAGAAACTATCCTATTTGCAGTCCAGTAGTTCAGTTGTCATGTGCTGCAACTGGCAGTAAATATCTTTGCACATGGCGTGCAAGATCTCATTGAGTTCTATGCTACGATAGCTAGGCATTTACATTTTGCCTTTCTAGACAGTGTATGTAGAATTTTTTCTTTGCTTGTTGTTGTTGCTTTTTTTTCCTTTCCAAAATCCCAGTTGGGAGATGGGAAACGAAACAAACTTATTATGGGCATGGTCAAGGTAGCATACAAATGTATAAGCTTACAATGTAATTGAACCAACAGGTAGACAAATTCAAACACTTGGTAAATCAATAAAGGTTGTTATGATAAAAACGAATGCTACAAAGTAAGGTATTAAGATTTCCGTGCAACTCCATACATTTATTATCCATGCAGCGATTTCATACTACATTTTTTGTATATGAAATTGCTGCACAAAAAGGTTTAAGGCACTATCTGATCCGTTCACGCGGATACTTCATATGAATAGAGTCAAACATGTACGCATAATATATGTATGGAGCTGCGCGGAAATCTAAACCAAAGTAAAATTAGTAAACTTCATCACACGTGTAACTTACTATCCAGGAGTAACAGCTAAAGCAGCATAAACAGTTGAATCAATGAAAGTCAAACAGTAGAGAAGACATACAGTCGCACAAGAAAACTTCACAACCACCGAAGCATCACCCAGCGCCTTATTTATCTGTGCCTGAAAGAAAACGTAGTAGCTTAGAGAAGATGCTCAAGCCGTTTGCAGTAAATAATTGTAGCAGAAGAAATACATATTTTAAATTACCTTTAGTTGATCAAAGTTGATGGTCGCCATTTTGTTTTGTTTGACCAATACGCAGCCGCAGTAGTGCAGATGACGAGTCAAAACATGACGTGGGCTAGGCCCAGTCTTCTCCATCCTTGGAGACGAACTTTGACGGCTAACTGAATTTGCCGGGTGTAGTTTTTGTTATTGATATTCACTTTTTTGTTGTTTCTGCACCGATCAACGAAATTCTCCGAAATCTGAGTGTTGTCAGCGAGTCTACTGAATAGCTTCACAGTAATAATGATCCTTATTTACCAACAAAATTTCTCAATTCTTTGCCAAACGTCGGAATATCTAGCTACTTTGAAATGGGCATCTCGCTGACATTTCTTCTCCAGTAGTCAGAGCAAAGTATACGAAAAATGCTTCGCATCAGCTAACTTTATTTAATTTACAAACCTAACAATCACATAGACCGGACAGTCCATATCGAGAACTCCTTTGCATGTAAATGTTTGTTTCCGCAGACGGATTTGAATGAGCTTTGCTTTATCGTGTGCACCTTGTTGCTGAAGCCGATATCGCTTATGTTTAGGTAGAAAAAGAAAACACTTCATCTCAAGGTTTTGCCAGACTTCAGATTGACGTTCAAGAGCAAAATGTTTGATTTACTGCGCTTGATAACAACGTGAAATTCCCTTCAGCGCTCTTTATTTTTGTTTACCTTTTGACTTCTGGTTAACCTGAGATCAGGCTCCATTTTCGTTTCGCTTTGAAAATTACATTGGCCGTTAGAGACAGGGGCGGATCCAGGATTTTTTTAAGGAGGGGGTGCACTCGTCTCTTGCTCTACTTCAACACCAATAAACCACATAGTTTTTTTTTTTGCAGAATACCAGTTGTATTAGAAAACCGCAGGTCATCTCGGGGCGGGGGGGGGGTGCGCACCCCCTGCACCCTCCCTCTAGATCCGCCCCTGAGAGAGAATGTATGAGAACCAACTGTTATGAGAACCGCTAAAATTGGGCCTAATCTCAGGTTAACTTCTGGTCTACTGCTCATGCTCATACGGTCAGCCAATGAAAAATCGAGTTGAAACGGATTATCCCAGAGGTTTTGTGGTTTTGTTACCCGTTCCGCTGCACAATGGTAACGCGGACTCTCGGAACAATATTGAAGATAACGTTAGCCAACCTTGTTCCCAGCTTCTGTCGAGAGCATTAGAATTAATAGGCTGATTTAGCAACAGAACGGGAACGTCAGTTGACGACGGCGCGCGCAAATCAAACAACTGGCTTTGGCTTGAACAATAATATTGAGCACAGGAAGTCTCTGAGTCCTTCCCGCGTGCTTTCCCGTCGTCATCTGGCGTTCCCGTCCTGTTGCTAAATCAGCCTAATATTAGGATTTGGACAAAACGCGTGTGAAATTATTCCCTAACTTCACCCGTCACCATATCATTTGATTACACATACTAATTTTAGGAATATACGAGCACTGCTAGTAGCATATTGTGCTACCTTTTCGAGCACAATCTATCAAATCCTTTGGGCCCTAGACTGCATGGCAGGCGTTTGAAAGGGAAGGGAAAGGGAATTACTTTCCTTTCTCCCTTGGGCGCCCAAATTCCCCCTTCCCCTTTTAAACGCCTGCCACGCAGGCTATTTGGGACCTGAAAGTAAAATGGGGCGAGATTCGGGACGGAATGCGGGATGCGGGATGCCGAAGTACAGGATTGCGCGAAAATTCTGGTCGGGATGATGAGATTGAAGAATCCTATCGAGGACCCTTCCTTACAGAAGCCGGGGACTATTAAAATGGTCTATTTTCGTAAAGTAAAGAACTCAAGTTAAATAAAACCAGCTTGTCTCGTTTCGAAAACCTTAGGAGAACTCAGTGATGAAATACCTAGGATAATCTCAAGATATCTACTATCCATACGTGCAAGCCACCACAAACTGGCTCATTTTGATTCGAAGAAGTTGAACAGTTGGCCAGTAGTTAAGAGTCACCAGTTGTGTTTCGCGCGTGCAACAGCCTCCACATGTCGGATTTTGCCACGTTTTGCCCTTGCATCAGTGATATTTTTTGTTTTAGGGAGGTAGAGCGATGGTAAAACAGAGGTGCACTAAAGCCAGTTACTATTTATTTATTCCTTTATTTATTTATTTCATTATTTCACTGCATTGTTTTTAGAGATTTCCAATAATTCGGCCTAAGGTGGAGCTAAATTTACCCTTCATTAGAGTTGGTTCTTTTGGATAGAGCCACTTTTTAAAAGATAAAAGTCCAAAAATTTCGAGTTATTTTAATTACATAAGTGGTAGAGCTAAAATTAATAACTTCAAAGAAAGGATAAAAATAACTCCATTGTCAATAACAGATATTTTAACTTCAGATTTGAAGTAAACATTGAGTTGAACTGAACCCCTAAAGATGGATTAATTTGTACTTAAACTTTTTAAGCTTTTCTCGAAAATTACTGTGACTGCACTTTTCGATTTAAACCTTGAAGGCATGCTTGTTACGTCTTGGAGAACTCTAATTTGTATGGGTTTTGTTATTGATATTCACCTCTTTTTTGTTCCTGCGCTGATCAAGAATTCTGCTATATTGCTGTCAGAGAGACTACTGAACAGTATACAGTTGTAATGATCCTTTTAGGAGTTGTCTCACATGACTCACGTGAAGCTATAATTATGACCACTTTACCTGAAATAGAGTCGAATTACGCATCTGCTTTTCATTGAGATTCATGGTTATTGTCAGGGTTTCGATGGAATTCAAATATACAGTATTTCCTTCGTCTCGTTCCACTTATCATTTATATATTGAGCAATATTTGAAAGACGTGACGTCAGCTTTCAAGGGTTTCAGGCCTCATGCATTGGGAGGGTTTTTAAAGCGTTGCAAGTGTTTATTAGTTGCATTTGATCACAAGGAACAAAAACAACACGACCAAACAACCAGGTCGACTACTGTAGTGATGAAGTTCATTTTGGTTTTCGTTTTCGTCTTTTCTTTCCACGTGTTGATGCTGTTGGCCAAGGATATTCCCCACCAAGACGATAGCAGCAAAGTGCTTGCGTCGAATCCAGAAAGTGATCTGTCGGTAAATTATCGTTTTGATCCGCAAAACAGACGCCTTCCAAGAGGTTGGTTGACTCGTGTACAGTGTGCTTACTATTCCTCATTCTTCCTACAGTCGATCATAAAGTGATCTTGACAACTTATCCTGCGTATATTTTAAGGACCAAGCTCAATTTTCTTTATTTTTTTGGTAATCAACAACTATATCTCCTTCATAGAAATTAAGAACCTTATTAAGAACCTACTCAGCCTAAATTGGCAATAACTGCCCCAAAATAGAGATTTTTGCCAGACTTCAAAAAATTTAGGTTGTTATATGCGGTGTTTACTGTATTAGTCTCCATCTTCAGGAAAAGAAGAGCAAACGAAAGCTGCGACCAGTTGAAAAACCGCCTTTGTGTGGATTCCCACTCTCGCGCAATTTTTACGAGCGCACGCACGAAATTTTACGCGCGTAAATAAAATACAGGCGATGTATGGAAGGTCACGCGTAAAAGTAAAAGTTCAACCTCGCTCAACTTTAACGTTTACGCCTGGCCTTTCATACATTGCCTCTAGTTAATTTACGCACGTGCCCGCTTAAAAATTACGCAACAGTGGATAATTTACCCTCAGGAACGAAGAACCTCTCACTAACTGAAGAGAGACGATTTCACTTTAGTGTGCTCGCGTGTTACGTTTAGCTCGCTGTGAACTGGTTAGGAAACTGGTAACTCTGATACTGATTCAAAGTGACTCAATAATTTCATAGTTTGTCTACAGGCAATATGGAATGTTTTTAGTAGCTGAATAAAAGGCACCAATTTGGATTAATCATCTTTAACTTTGCTGAGAAGACTCAATGTTTAAGATATAAAATTAAAACTTTTGGAAAAGCAAAAAAAAAAACAAGGAGATAAGGTGAGATTTCATGTCAAGTTTTAATTAAATTACAGGTAGAAAACCAGTCTGTCTAGGAAACAAAAAGTATCTTAATTGATCTCCGTTAAATCGACTTTCAGGTCGCTGGACCAAAGTAAATACAAGGCCGGTGTGTTTTGGAACCAGAAAAAACCAGTTTGGAAGATTCTACGTTCGAACGGGTAGGTTAATCGCCATAAAGCTGGTTCATCGGTACGGTAGCGTGACTTGCAACATAAACAACGTCAACTCGACTTTGTCTAACTGGGGCTGTGGGAGCACCGAGGTTAACGTGGTGGTTACAACCTCGCGCAATACTATACTACTACCACCAAGAAAGTTCCTCAGTAAAGACAAGTTCCGCGCCCGGCTGAAATGGTCAGTGATTCCCGGATATAATTCCTTTTCGCCGAGGCTTGTTCTGCGGTTTTTCCCGTCTCCTTTTCCAGTGACAAGGAGCCAAGAATTACGCTTGTGGTACGGTGAAGACCTGATGGATTTTGCCGAAGAAGACAACCGAGGATCATCGTGCGTTGATGTTTTTGCTCTTTATGCATGAAGAGGCGCCCTTACTACCTTTTCTAAGGGGTATAAAATTGTGTAAGAGGAAATAAAGAAATTTTGCTTAATCGTAAATTTCACTGGACTTTTGCTCGACTTGAACTGTGCTAACTTTGTAATGTCCATTTCAAACTTTCTTCCAATACGTTTTTTTAAATAAGGTAACTAAGTAAAGTTTTAGTTTTAAAACATATAAATGAATCCTACCCATTGTAACAGTGTGGCAGTAAACTGACAATGAAAGAAAAAATTTGTCTGAGTTGTCTGATTTTTTTTAGCGGCGCAACCGGAGTGCGCGTAAGATATCAGGGCCATCATTAATGAAAGAAAATACTGAGAACCAAAGGCTGACTATTTTCAAGAGCGTATTCAATGATAAACACCTCTTTTCTCGTCTTTAGACAGGACAATGCAATTCAATTTAGGTATGTGCCAAAAACATCAGACACCGATAGATGACTGATTTTTCCAAATTAAGTTTTTGGAATAAAGACTTTGAGAATGGAAGAATCACTTTTACACTATAATTGACAATTCATAACTAAGTAATTCTCTGAGAAACTGGGGCAAACTTGGAAATATTTGTTCTTCCAATAGCCACCGGCCTAGCTATGGCGAAATCATGATAAACAAATGAATCGTACATACGCCAGTCGATATTTTTTCCCTTCTATGAGACCTTGCGAGCTATTTTAGAATAGTTTACCTTTTATCGAGTTGCCATTAATATCATATGGACAGTTTTAATATATTCATTATCACTGTCATCATCGTCATCATCTTCAACATCATCGTCATCAAATTCAACCCACATGCATCATATTTTGAAGCTTAAGCACAGATTCGGCATGCAACGGTCCAAAACAAAGTTAATAGTTTGTTGGTCGCCACTAAGCCATAACTGCTAGAGGACTTGTGTCATGTTCTTAAAGAAATACACCTGCAGATTTAGCCTGCATAGCAAGCGTTTCCGGGCGAGTTCGTCGAGAAAGTTGGGACGAGAGCAAATAACTGTAACTCGACTAGAAACGCTTGCTACAACGTGATTTTTGGTTTACATAGGTATACCCTGTAAGTTGTCGCTTGTCACGACGTCTTTACAGTAAGTCACGACGGCCACAGTATTTGTCACGTCACATTTGTTTTCCCGGATACTAGATACTGCCAACATATGTAGAAAATGTAATAACATGCCCTCGCTCGAGGACATTTTTAGGAGACCTGTTTAACAGATTTTCATCCGCATTTTTTTCTCAGTTCACTTTAATTTGGTACCAAATGGCCGGTATTGCATGCAGTTTGAGGCAACAATACTAACACCTATGACCCTTTTGTTTTCCGGTTCTGTGTAAATTATCTCTGCACCATTAATGGTTTCATTCAAGTATAAGGGAGATTTCGAAGAATGCTGAATGAGGTTGGGGTACGAGAGAATAACAGGGAGTTTAAGCAATTACGACGACGACCACAACGACAACTTCAAAAAACAATTTGTTTTATGAGCAAAACTGAAGCAAAACAACAGCTCTGCTCGTGCATCAGGCTTTTTGTACATTTCTTTGACTTCCACTGCACGACTACGACGAGACACCTCGGCTGATGCGACGTTTTATAGAGGACGTGGACACACGACGACGAATTCTCCTTTCTCTTTTTGAACCTTTCAATAAAGTTCTTAATAATTCAACTCCAGGAAAAGTCGCCTGCATTTGACATATTGAGAGGGTTCAAATATACGCGATTACGTTTGAAAGAACGCAAATTCATTTTTTAGCGACGTTTTCACTGCCAATCGTCGTCGTCGTTGCCTAAGCTCGCTAATGTTCCTATGACAGGCTATGCCGACCTCTCATGCCTTTCCCACATCCTCTGCAGTATAGATAATAAACACAGCCTTCTCAAGGACGTGATTACGCGTGTCACGTTACAAGAACATCAACGAAGCTGGACAAACAAATTGATTACAATTGAAAAGACCGTTTTCTACTTTTTTGAAGTACATTGTAGATCTTTCTACAGACTACAGATTACAAATTGTCTCACAAGTTCGCCTGGGTAGCCTGTGGATAATAAGGGTTTCTTTAGGGCTGGAAGCACATAAGGTGTAGAATGTTCTTGTTAAGCACTAGGGTGCAATACCGATGAATTAGAGACTAGCTACTTAGCGTTTATGCATCAGTCAATTTCACCTGCGCCCAGGCCCCCCCCCCCGGGCTGACCCCCGGGAATTAGCATTTTTTTGCCTTAGATGGCAAATTCCCGGGGGTGGGGACTCTTGAGCTGGCAAATCCCCCGGGGTGGGGAAGAAAAAAGAGGGCAAATGCCCCGTCCTCCGTCAACAGTGCAACATTTTTTATTGATCGCACAGTCCAATAGTACCATTTTAAAGTGCGATTTTTTGTTTCAATTAACGTCTTCCTTTGTAATAGCGCTAGGATTCTAATTAAGACTTCACGCCGCGACGACATGCACCGGTTTATAGTTTTAGTATTGATATAAAATTATTGGCATTAAAATTAATAGAGCGCTGTGAAGTCATATGTTATGAATAGATTTATAAATATGAAAGGGTGTTCTTCAAATAATATCAACAGAAATTTGATTCAATAACCAAAAAACGTTGATTCACATCGATAGCTCCAATTTTGCTCTGTAATTCTGGCTTGATAAGCAATGAAGAGATGCATACATACATGTAAAATCCTGAACATGCCTTTACAACCCTCTACAATTTTTTCCTGTCCTTGACAGATGAGCCAATCTGCTTTTTTTTCCAGTAAAACCTTCTGTGTAGTTATAATCTGATAGGAAATCGCGTGCGCGTCAAAAGCTCGGGAATGGCCCGGGGGTTGGCAAATGCCCGGCTCCCGGGCAGTGCAACCAAGAAACGGACTTCAACCAGTCAAGCCGGTGGAACAATTGATGCATTTCTTCATTGTTCTTATCATGTTTAATGGCTATAAAGTGCTCCTAAATAACTGTGCATACTGTAGTCAAATGACAACCAAGAAACGGACTTCAACCAGTCAAGCCGACAATTGATTCTCCATTGTTCTAGTTTACTTCTAACCGAGTGCTTTAGTAAATAATTCACTTAGTCATCTTTAGAAGGTTTGTCATCAGCTAGATACATTTTCCGTCTCGTTAACTTCTTTATCGCCAGTTAATCAATCTAAAGTACCGCGATGTGTAATCTACGATTTTATTCTTGCAGTAAATAACCAAAGGACCCCGACTTAAATTTTAACTTTATAAAAATACTTGACAGTTTATAATTCTAATTACATGTAATTAGTTTCTGGAAAGTCTGCTTTAGTCATGCCATTTGATTCACTGAAAATTTACTTTAAAAATCATGGGTTGTGGCATAAGTAATCTGCATTTAAAAATCAGTTATTAATAATCTTTTTCAGATTATTGCAAATCGATGTTGCATCATTTTTACCTTGTATCCCTTCTTTAGATTATTAATTTGAGCATCACGGAAAGATAAACACTTATTGAAGTTGATCGAGGAATCAGAGGAGTGTTTGTTTAGAAGCATGTATTGGAAGATAACAGGTCGTTCAGGGCAATAATGTTAAAAAGTGCTCAAGAATGGCATAGACAAAGCAAACAAAACTAATCTTGAGATGGACAGAATACATTAATGTTGACACAAAGCATCGTTAGTGCATTCATAAACTTGAGGCTTTAATAAGCTCTAGGAAGCGAGGATTTAATAAGTTTATTGCAAGATGATGAAAAAAATGATAAAGAACACGAAATTGGGCAATCAAAGTCTAAAGCTGTAAGAGAAGGTGACTACTCGTTCGTTAAAACTGAAAATGCATGGAAGAAAAAAACTGACGGCTAGAAAAGAACTTACCCAGACTATAAAACACACAGGTGTGCTTAACCATCATCAAACTCAGAGACTTGGCTCGTGTGTGGACAAGTTTCAAAAGGAGTTCGAAAAGAAACTCAAGGAATTGTCGGTTCAACAATCGCAGCTCATTGCTTCGCAGCGACTACGAGATTCACGCCGAGGGTCCCTTCCATCTAGTCCTTCAATTAAATGCGGTGAAGAAGAAGAAAAACAGAAAGATGTAATAAAGAGCTCTTTCTCTGATTCTGCTCTAGACCAGTGCGCAATGGTCGGCAACGGAAACGCTACGTTAAAAGAGCCGAGGTCTGGGTCAAACACAGGCAACAATACCCTTTCGTCGCTGCCTCTAAAACTGCCAAGAATATATCGTAACTCTCACAAGGATGGATCGAGAGAAATTGAGATTGAAGACATTAAATCGACCAAGAAGTCAGTTGAAAATATATTTGATAAGCTCAAGTACTCAAGGCAAGCTTTAGATATGACGCGAAAACTGTCCAATGGATATTCAGCAATGATTACGGCTTCCCCGCCAATTATGAGATCGACCCGACGTGCTAGCGTACAGCCAGCTTCAACATTGGTCGTCGAAGAACACGTTCCGAATCGTAGAACACTTATACGAAGGGGGAGCTGTCCTACCCTGGGTACAAAATGGCGCATGGAAGCACGTACAAATGAGCTTGGCTTAGAAACAAATGAAGAGGAGAAGACGGCAGCGCTTTCAAGGCACTTGGAAGAGATGAAAAAATGTCGATATTTAAGATTTCCAAAGTCAATTAAGGAAGACGATGAGGAGGAATTGGAGTCTCTTGTCACTGATGTATGAAGATTTTTCAACATAAGACCAAAAAACAACAGTTTTTCATGAACACCACGACACTATCCGCGACTGCGAGTAATGTAGTACTGTTTTAGCTGAACGCAGCGCACTATGTTGAGTTATAATAGGAGCTGATACCAAGGCTCCTGAGCTCTCCTGCTTTTAAAGAACTGTCACAACCTGCATAATTCATCCCCACGTTGAAGTAATTGCTTCTGTAAGATTTCAAACTTTGTGAACTAAGTGGGAAGTTTTTTATGCACTTTTCTTGTCCAGAAATATATCACACTAATGAGAATTATATATTTTCATGGTGTGGATGTTTGAAGTTCAAGAACTCGTCATAAAAATGTAAGATAATAACGTAAAATATTGAGGTCGCATAATCCGGGGATTACAGAGCAAGAAATATGAAACAAACATGCAAAAATTTTTCTTTGGACATAATTTATTCTAAATATGTTGATGAATTCATCTACAGCATAACAAATGCTCAAAAATTTTAACATTTCCTCGACAAGGAGTTTTTACTTCTGTTTCGATCA